TGTCTCAAAGTATACCACACATTATTAGTTACAAAAGGGAATTTCTCTATTAGTTAATGCAGAAATTGGGCACATACCACTTAACCAAGGGATCTAATGTTACGTCATTGATAATGGTACAGGTTGACACGGTATGTCTCTGGATGTGATGCCATGGGAAGGACACGACGTCATCTGTGTAATATTCCTGCCAAAATCTAGGGGAAACAATTAGACAGAGCCAAACAGTGTGGGCTGGACTTTTCAAATATGTCAGTGTCATGAAAGTCAAAAAAGGCCGGGGGGCTGTTCTGGAGTACAGGGACCTAAAGAGATGTGCCAGTGGAGGCTGCGCATGATCCGTGATCGGACTCGAAGTCTCCTGCCCACCAACCCAAAGAAAACAGCTGTAAAGAGCACTTTGGGGACAGTGGGAATTTGGTATATGAAGTGTTTATTACAAAATAATGAACCAATTTTAGATTTCTTGGGTGTAATAGTGGTACTGTGATTATGTAGGATAATGTGTCTTGTTCTTAGGTGATATATGCTTGAAATATTTGGAGATGAGGTGCTCATGATGTCTGTGATTTTCTAATAGATGAGCCAAAAAAAAAAAAAAACCAATATAAATAGATGAAAGCCAGCAAAATGTTAATAATTGGTGGATTTTGGTGAAGCATATATAAGTATACAGGGCACTGTTCTTCCAGCTTTTCTATAAGTTTGAAATATTTCACAGTAAAAGTTGGGAGAAGTTAGATGTCTGTATATAAAGTCAACAGAGTTATTTGATATCAATTTTGTATAGACTTCTAACATCAGTAGTCCTGCCTTTTGGTAGCACTTTGAAAAGTGTTGCCAACATAATGGGATGATATCATTTCTACCATTATGCTACATTAGAGATACTATTATAATTCACTTCTGGTTACTTCTTTATTATAATGATTGAACTGCTATCAAAAGTATTTATGATTTGGGTCTGTCTATTTGTATTCATTCTCCTTCCCACCTTTCTACCTCCGGAACCACAGAATGCTATTAACTGCTTCCTAGTACTGTTTACTTGTCTTTTCTTATGTAAATTATGTTTACCTTTAAGATGTTTATTTAACTTTTCTTATATAACTACAGTTTTGGGTGATGAAATTAAATGAAGAATATATGATATGGTTCCTATACTCAAGGAGTTCGTACTTTAGTAATAATAATATTTGGGCATTTAGGCCAACTAAAACACAAGTATTAGGTGTTATAACAATAATCACAATAATTCTCATTTTATAGACAAGAAAACTAAGATGCAGAAAGTTTAAGTAAGTTGCCCCAAATGAAACAGACAGGAGTGGGCAGAACTCAGATTTGAACTCAGGTCAACTGAGTCCTTAATCCATGCCATGAAATGCTGAAGAAACAGTTTATTTTGCTTGGAGCGTGGAAGCATTCGGGAAAGTTTCAGATCTATGACGTTTGACTGGGTCTTGAGACGATGCATAGGATTCTGCCAAAGGTGAGGAAGAGTATCAGAGGCAGGTGAATAGCAAGTATTGGTCAAAGAGGTGTGGAAATACATTGTGTGTTGAGAATGACAAATAGTTCAGAGCAGCCAGATCATAAAAGTAGCAGGAAGTGAAACTGGATGGTGAGTTGGGGCCGTATTGTGAAGGGCCGTCCACGTAGAAGTTTGAACTTTATTTGTAGATGCTAGGTAGCCATTGAGGGATTTTAAACTGGGATGCATTTAAAAAGCTGTAGCAGTGTGGGGGTTGGATAGAAGACAGTCAGGGCTACTCGCAAGAAGTTACTGCCTTCATCTAGGAGTTAGGATCGTCAGAACTAGGGCAGAGGGCGTGTTGGAAGCAAGAGACACGGAGGGGACCAGCAGAGTATACTTTGGGTGTGAGAAGGAAGACTGAAAGCAGCTTAAGGTTCTAGTTTGATTGGCTTAGTGAGTAGTGATGCTGTGAATTCATCTTAGGGAAGAGAAGGGTAATAGCAGTGTGTTTAGGGAAATAGTTTTGGATATGTTGAGTTTGAAATATCTGCTGAACTTCTAGGTCAAGATTCTAACATTCTTGCTGTTATATTTTAGTTTGTCTTCGTATTATTGAGTCCATGGCAAGATATGATGTTCCTTAGCCCGTTTTTCTAGAACACTTAAGTTCACATTTGTGACATGTGTTTTCAATTACTTCTTCAGAATAAATTCTGAAATAGTTAGCTGAAGCATATTTGGCGATAAAGTATATTTTATCCCTGAATTAAAGATTCATGAGTGGGGGAAAGAAAGACATTCACATGCATTCAAGTCTGGTGTAGTTGAACTGGAAGCATTATGGAGTTAACATTTAAACCTGATTTGAACTACTGATATATAATTTTAAAATCTTACAGCCTGGGAGTTTTTCCCAAGGTTTATCTTTTTTTTTTTTTTTTTTTTTGCTGTAGGGGAAAGAAAAGCATGCTTAATGGTTCTTAAAAGTGTGTGTGTGTTTTATCCTTGCATGTGAGAATGTGTAGCATTTAAAATAATTTATATATTTGATAAGCGTTAGAATACAAAAATGTTTCTTTAAAAAAACTTCTTAAAGTGATTCTTGATAATTCATAGTTATAAAAATGAAAGATAGCAAGAGAGCTGCTAGGTCTCAGCAGGGTTGTTCTCGGCAAAGTGTATGTTATTATATTCTTGGGTTGGCTTGAATTATTTGTTTTTTCCTGTTGGTGGAGGAAGGGATTATGCTTTGAAGAAGTCAGAGAAGGAAGTGCAGAAGAACAAAAAAGTACCAAATGGCAACTTAGATCAATCTTAATTTTTCACAGCTTGGCCTTCTCTAAAGTCACATTTAGCAGAAACATTAATTAGATTTTAGTGCCCCACTGAGTTTTAAAATTAAACATATTTCTGGAACCATCTGCAACATTTTATCACTAATAATATAATGAAGAATATGCTTAGTCTTGAAAAATGGGAATTATAACAGAATATCTTTTGCTCACGAGTGATCATCTTTCATTATGAAGAACCCATCAAAATTTTTAGAGTTAAGTAATTAAAGTTATAAGTATGCCTAAAAATAAAACTGTATAAACATATTCTTATTGGTGAGAATCTTTTGCTAAATTCAGGATTTTCTTTGGGATTTTATGCTTCTCTTAAATCTAAACATATTGATGGTGGGTATATGCTGTCTGCCTGTTTGAGACTGGATTGAAGACAATCGATAAGGAGCTCTTGCTTTCACCCAGGAACTGTGATTGTCTGAGCTAGGGCAGGGACATGATGCAAGCAAGAGATAGAAGATGTGGTGGCTAAGAGTGCAGGTCCCAAAGCCAAGCTGCCCGGCTTTGAACCCCTCTTCCAACTTGACCTTGCTCGGGAGGGGAATTTGGACAAGTCGCTTCATCCCTTTGTGCCTGATTCCTTAATTGTAAAATGAGGATGATTATATCTACCTCATAGGGTTGTCATGAGCATACATTTTGAGCATAAAATGTATCCTCAGAACTATTTTCTTTCCTATGTAGTCTTCCCTTTCCATTGCTTTCTATTCATGTACTTATTACACTTACAGAAGCCTCCAGAAAAGAAAATGTGGGGACTGAGGAGAATTAATGAAATAGCAGAATCTCTACTCACTCATAAGAAAGAATTATGTTGGATTTGTTCTCGTGAAAATGAAATAATTAGTTAGTTGCCTCCTCTGTGCCCAGCATTGCTCTAGGCGGTGGGGAAAGAGCAGATGCCTCAGCCTTCCTGGAGCTGAGAGGGTTAGGGGAGAGCGTAGGTCAGGTGTGCAGCAGCAGTGGGCTTCCAAATCCTGAACCCCGGAGGGAGACAGGCTCACTCACCTGGTCACGGGCCACAGACTTCCTGGCTGAAGAGGGTGTTTTTTTCTTGCCTGAAAGGATGGAGTCCAGCTGTGCTTTCTGAGGGTAGTCGGGCTCCCGAGAAAAGGGATAGAGGACTGTACATGCCCACTTCTTTTTTTAAATTTACTAATCAGATAAGTCACTCTACCACCTTGGGAGTGAATAAGGGGTTGGACAGCAGGCCCAGCTACTTAGGAAAAAAATATTCCTTCTGGAAACCAAAGAAGTGAGGAGGAAGCATTTTCTATACCACATTCCCCATTCCCCAGCTTTGCTCCAAATCCCAATTTAGTGTGACATCCAAGACCCTCGCCTATGTTTCAGCCTCATCTCCTGATGCTGCCTTTTTTAGCCCCCTATGGTGCTGAATTATCTCAGCACTACACCTATCCCTGCTTAGAATGTTCTTTCCCACATTGCACTTGGTAAAAATCCTAATCATCTTCCAGTTCTTCATTTAGGGCTCATCTTCTCTGACATCCCTAGGTGTATTTGACTGCTCCTTCCATCATGACCTTGCTGTTACCCTTTCTGTCCCTGTGTCGTACCATCTGTCACAGTACTGTTGATTCCCCTATCAGTTGCCCTTAGCAGACAGTCAGCTTTCTTTAGGGCAGCGACTATTATTTATTTTTATATAATTTTTCACTAGCATAGTGCTAGTTATATATTAATCACTCCACAATAAACGAATGCCCAATTCTCCTTTAAAAAACCAACTCTCACTGAAAACATTAAGATACTAGAATTCAGTAAAATGTGAAAAAGAGAATGGAATTTTGAAGTTGTGTTTTTGTTGCTTCATAAAAGATATTTCAAAATACTTAAATTTCCTTTTGGTTTAGATTTATAGACTACATAAGGCTTTCAGTGATTAGTTTAAAAGTGTTGGAAAATTTAAACAATTCCTTTCTCTTTACCTATCCCCATGGAATATCTCCTATGTATCTTAACGTTAGCTATGGACTAATGTTGATACAACTGTAATATTATCCAACTTTAAAAAAGTTAGATAGGATATTTGCTATCTAATATAGCATAACTTTTTTAATAGTCTTTTTTTAGCAGCATTTTCTTTGACATTTTTTGTAATTTGTAAGTAAAGAAGCCTCAAACAGTAATAATGAATTTCAATTTTATTTTAGCAAAAGCACCTGGAAATTGAAAGGACTACTAAATGGTTGAAAATGCTGAAAGGATGGGAAAAATACAAGAACACTGAAAAGGTAATTAAGAATAATGTTACTTCCTGATGAAACTATACAAGTTCAATGTGAATTTTTCCACTAAAAGTTTCTCTTTAATTATAATAGTATTACACTCGTATTCTTTTTTTAATTTGAGTTTAATTTAGTGGAATGCCTCAAATTAGGAGTCTTTATGTTGCAACAGAATACTCAATTCAAATTGGTTTCAATAATTAAGAGGCTCTATTGGGTAGTCCAGAGGTAGGATGGGTTTCAGGAGTGATTTTTTTCTTTTTCCTTTTTTTTTGGTGAGGAGGATTGGCCCTGAGCTAACATCCGTTGCCAATCTTCCTCTTTTTGCTTGAGGAAGATTGTCCCTGAGCTAACATCTGTACCAATCTTCCTCTATTTTTTGTGTGGGATACTGCCACAGCATGGCTTGGTGAGCGGTGTGTAGGTTCACGCCCGGAATCCGAAGCTGTGAACCCTGGGTCACCAAAGCAGAGTGCACGAACTTACCCACTACACCACTGGGCCGGCCCCTCAGGAGTGATTTGATTTAGCTGCTCAGTTACGTTGTCTGTGCCTTAGTTGCTTTCCGTCTCTCTTCTCTGCCTTTTGCAGTGTCAGCCTCACGTTGAGGTTTGCTTCCCTTTGGGATCAAAATCATTGCAGTACTTCCAGGCTTCCTATCCACATGTCGCAATGCTCAGAAAGAGAGGGCTGGCCTCTGAAGGCTTTCCCTGGAGCAGGACCAGTCTTCTTTTCCAAAAGCTTCTGGAAAACCTCCCCTTAAATCTTTTTACCCTGCATTGAGTTTGTGCTAAGTTTTAAACTAATTAAAAAAAAATACACATACCTATTAATATCACCATCAATCTCATCTTTGGTATTGGTTACTGTGAAGCTCATAGTGGTGGAAGTTTTCCAAAATTCTAATTTTTGCTTGAAAGATCAAATGTTACCAGTGTCAACAAATACTGTCAGTTATTTTCCTTAAAGTGACAGGCTAACTTCATTTTGTTTTCGAAAATGTCTGTCAAATACCTAAATCTGAACAATCCTGGTCGATTATTCAGTTGTTCTTTCAAGTAATAATGGTGTTCCACGACAAAAGCAGTTGGTTCAGATCATAATTCAAACAGTTCCATAAGTGCTTTTTCTTGAGGCCAACACTGTACTGCATATACAGCAAAACTTCTCTGTGTGCACTTCCCATCTCATCACTCAGAGTGTTAGTAAGATGTGTATTCAAGAGTTGAGATTTAATGAAATTCATCATTTCTACTGCTTCCTCAAGGGTATTCTCAAGTGAAGCCGACTCTTTCAACTGTGAGTGAGGAACACAGTGACGACTGGCGCGGTCCTCCTCCTGTCTGGTTTCTGCCGAGGTGCCAGTAGTTTGACCGCCATTGCTTTTCTGCCGTCAGTGCCAAAGTCAACAGGGTGAAAAGGCAGTAACATTTTAGTGTTGTTATGAAAATAATTTTGACCTCATGGACCATGCTTTGAGAACTGCTGACGTCTAGGCAGTTCCTCATCTGTAAAATGGACATGATAATACCCATTTCAAAGGGATGAAGATTTAATGATTTAGTGCATGTAAAGCACTTAGCATTGCACCTTGCGTATAGTAAGCATTCAGTAAATGTTAACTACCGCTGTTAGTTTTTTGAAGGAAGGTTGGACAATAAACAAAGTTTAAAGGAAAAAAAGAAACGTTCCATAGTCCTACAGCAAAGCACAACTGAATTAACTGTAGGATTTTTGTTTATTTCCTCACACTTTTTTTCTATGTAATTTGTTTTCCTTTTTGCATAGATGTAAATTGTTGTATGTCAACGTTTGCCAACAGGAATTCCAGGGAGCATCAGTTCCTTGGGTTCTAATGGGTATTACATGGAAGCAGTATTGCCTAGTGGTTAAGTAACAGGTGCTGGAGGCAGACTATCCTGGGTTCAAACTCCAGCTCTGCTATTTTACTAGCTGTGTGACCCAGGGGAAGGTATTTAACCTTTTTCTGCCTTAGTTTGGCTGTAAAATGGGGATAATAATAATAATACCTGCCTCAGAGAGTTGTTTTGAGGATTAAATAAGTTAATTCAGGTAAAGCACGTAGAATAGTGCCTGACACTTAGTAGGCAGTCAGTAAGTGTGGCTTATTATTACATGAGAAAAGGGCTCTCTGGTTGAATAGAGTTGGGAAAATTAGAGCTAAACAAAGTGAAGCTAGTTTTATTTACTACAAGACTCCTCAGAGTCTTTAATATTATAATATGTGGTGGAAATTTTTAAGAGGGATCTAAAATTGCATGGCACTTACTCAATCATGGAAATCTTTTTGTCATGGGAAATCTCCCAGGACTAGCATCGCTTTTCTTTTTGAGCATCCTAAATATCCTTATTTAAAGCCTTATTTTATTTTATATTATTTATTTATTTATTTTATTTATTTATGAGATAAAGTCTTTATCTCATTTTTGTGTTGCTGATTTTTATTTGTGTGTTTTAGCATTAGGTTGGAACTCAAGATGTTTTTAAGAGGAATCGGTTCAAAGTAGAATGTTAGTTACAATACCTGTGCTCTTGTTTAATATTTTGCTGTCTCTCAGACTGACCTAAGTTCACAACTACTTTACCTTATGTCTTTGTGGAAAGATTGCTCAAGTGGTAATTATAGGATAAATGTCGATGCATTGCACCTATGCTTTATTCTCACATTAAGTCTAATAAAATATTTGTAGAATTCTATGGCTTTATGTTCTTCTCTAGTATACATATATCTATGAAAGTGTGTAAGCCTCTATAAAAATGGGCAATTCTGCTAAGCTATTATTCTGACAGCAACTCTGGCTAATGTAGTTCTCATTAAGAGAGATTTTAACGAAACTACTTCTTTGATGTATAATTTTAAAGCACTTTCCCTCAACTATAATGCTAGAATTATTTGATGATATATATGGTCCAATTCAGTGTGAAACAGAATGCACCTTCTAAAAGAATTGCTGCTTTCAATTCATACCTAGTTTTAAATTGCATTGAAGTGAAAAAGTAGCATGTATTTTTTCTTGTCTTCCAAGAGGAAGTGTAAGTTTTCCCTCCCTATATTCCTTATATAGTAGTAATACAAAGAAATTTCTAAAAATGTCTTGAAATAAAAATATAGCTCTGATAGAGAATATTTGGATTTTTAGGATACAAGCTTTAATGAAAAAAAGTTTGCGTTAAGGTTGTTTGTTGTTGTCTGTGTGTTCTCACAGTTCTCACTGTCCCTCACAGTTCTCACTGTCCCCTATGTACAGTAGTATTGTCGTTTTAAAATATAGTCTATTAAGTGAAGCAATGAAGTTATCTCTGCTAAGTGGAGACTAGTATGATTTAACTAGTCACAATGTGATTGTGTCTAAGCTACATCACAGCAGAGTGCTTACTATAGATACACATATTTTTTTGTCAGTCAAATAACTGAATGGACCTTTGTTAGTCAAATGACTAATGGACTCATATTAGCCAACATTTTATTTTACTGATGGGAAAATGGAGGCACAACGTTTAGCAATAAATTTCTCAAGGCTATATGGCTTGTTAGTGACAAGCAAGAGATCCCGCATCCCAACTCCAGGGCTCATTTATTGTACCATCTTTTAGGCTGGATTTCCCTTTTGGTGTTCATCAATAAAAGGTCAGAAGGAAATAGAATGCAGTTAGAATGCAGAGAGGAAGTAGGGCCTTATGGATGGCTTAAAACTTTTTCAGATGCAGACTCAGGAGACTCGTGCCTATTTGGAGTCAGAGATGAAGGAGCCAGTGGAGCAGGGGTGATTAAAGGAAAGGCAGAGGCAATCAAGAGCATAAGCAGCTCCGAGAGTGAACTTTTGTTTCGTGGTGTACACTTGCAGTTTTGAAAGTTCCACAGAATTGAGCCAAACTTGCTGGGCTGAAAAGTTTACTAACTGGCAGCCGTGATGACGTAGACTGGAACATTTATCACTATTTTGAAATCACTAAGGTTAGAAAGAAGTATAGAAAATGTTAGGTCAGTTGATGGAATTGTTTTTTACTTGATGGATTTTTAAATGTATCTGTGTGCCAGAAATAGACTGCTTGATTCTACTGGCAAGTGAACAAAGATACTGGAAGCAAAAGGTAGATTTCAGGCAACCTTGTTTATTTTTTCTTCAGGATTTTATATATCATATCCATAAAATAAATTTCTAACAGAATTTTAAAGATAACTAATGTTCAAATGGGAATATTAAAATATTGTTAAAATCCAGCTATAGACATTCTGTATCATGGTTGTTAAGATTATTGTCTCTGAAGTCAGATGACTGAATTTCGATTTTTCTTCCACAGTTTATTAGTTGTATTACTTTGAGCTAAGTTAGTTTACCTTTCTACATCTTAATTTTCTCATCTGTAAAATGGGGATGATAAGAATAGTACCTACCTCTTTAGGAATGTAATAATATTACAAGGAATAAATTGATCTAGAAACACGTATACCGGCTCCTAATAAATAATCAGAAAAGGTTAGTGTAACTGCTGTTATTAACATTGTTGTTACTATTTGATTCATCTTTATCCTCACCTTCATCTCCATCCTCGTTTCCCCTTCCTGGCAAATTCCTATGTATCCTTTGGTATTGAGTTTACTGTCATCTTCTCTAAAGGAATTCTGTCCAAACTCTCTCATGTAGAATTCATTATTCTCTTCCTCCATTATAGCATCTTTAGCACAGTCTCAGGATGAGAGCTGCTCTGTTGGACCAATAAGAAGTGACCACCACAGCAGATTCACTGCCCTCACCCCCAACACCTTTATCCCTAAACTTTTTCTGGTTTCCTCTTAGAATCTCATGTGTCCTACTACATAAAGGCCAACCACCCTCTGATACCACTCCTGCAGATCTAGACAGTGGAGTGCCTACCATTCTCCTTTCACCCCCTGGCCCATCTCTGGGGGGTCTATCTCTATCACAACTTCTCATCAGGGTGTGATGCTTAGCTCTGATAGCAATTAGTATATGTGACTTTAT